TCAGGTCAACGTTCTGGGTCATTGGTGTCCCTGTGGCCACCAGGTCAACCTTCTGGGTCATCTGCGTACCTATGACTACCAGGTCAACCCTGTTCTAGCTCCATGGATAGAGGGGCAGCAGGTGATGTTCCGGGTCATCCCTGTCCCCGTGGCCAGCAGCTCTGCTGTGTTTTAGGTCGCGCCACGGGTCTGGACGAAGAAGGGCCGGGCTGCGGTGGCCCCACCTGGTAGCTGAGCTCCTTGACGCGCCGCTCGGACTTGCGGAGGCCCTTGACGCTCTCGGCGTTGCGCTTCTGCTCGGCCTCCAGCTCGTTCTCCAGCTCCCTCACGCGGGCCTCCAGCTTCTGCAGCTGCTTCTTGCCCCCCTTGAGGGCCAACTGCTCGGCCTCGTCCAGCCGCAGCTGCAGGTCCTTGATGGTCTGCTCCTTGTTCTTCTTCATCCTCTCCAGGTGGGCGCTGGTGTCCTGCTCCTTCTTCAGCTCCTCCGCCATCATGGCCGCCTGCCCGAGGAGAGAAGCCGTCAGAGAAGGAGGTCCCAGGCACGTTCTCCCCGACCCGATGGCGGAAGGCGTCCTAGATGCCGGTCCCGCCACGGCGCTCACGTCGGTGATGGCCTTCTTGGCCTTCTCCTCGGCGTTCCTGCACTCCTGGATGGCCTCTTCCACCTCCGTCTGCAGCTGGGAGACGTCGGCCTCCATCTTCTTCTTCTGGTTGATGAGGCTGGTGTTCTGGAGACGGAAGAGAGGATCTCAGGAGGGTGGCCGTGGGGCTGCTGGCCCATCCTTCTTCAGCCCCACAGGACTTGGAGCCCCCCACCCCCCCGCCATCTCTGCAGGCGTCAAGGATCTCCATCTGGAGATCTTGGTAACTCCGCCCAGAAGGAGGCCACGCCCATGGTTTCTCCGGGGTTTGAGCATCCTTGGATGGAGGTGACCTCTCTCCTTGGAGGTACGCGAGGTCTCACCTGCGAGTGGAGGAGCTGGACCCTCTCGCTGGCCTCGATCAGCTCCTGCTCGGCCAACTTGCGGGCCCTCTCGGTCTGCTCCACCACCGCCCGTAGCTCCTCCAGCTCCGACTGCAGGAGGTTGTTCCTCCGCTCCACGATGGCGATGTTCTCCTTCAGGTCCTCGTTGGCCCTGACCGCGTCATCCAGCTGCAGTTGGGTGTCCTGGTGGGACAAGTGGGATGGGCCTCAGCCGGCAGCTCCGCGGGGCTGGGGGGAGCCTCCTTAGAGGTGGGTGATCCCACCTTGAGGTGAGTCTGGGCTCCCTTCAGGTGGGACTGGGCCTCGGCGGCGATGCGGTTGGCGTGGCTGAGCTGGATCTCCATCTCGTTGAGGTCGCCCTCCATCTTCTTCTTCAGCCTCAGGGCCTCGTTGCGGCTCCGGGTCTCGGCGTCCAGCGAGGTCTGCAGCGAGTCCACCACCCGCAGGTGGTTGCGCTTGGCCTGCTCCATCTCCTCGTCCTTCTCGGCCAGCTTGCGCTCGTAGTCCGCCTTGACCTGGTTGAACTCCAGCTGGGCCCTCAAGATCTTCCCTTCCTCGTGCTCCAGAGAGGCCTGGGGGGGGACGGAGGGGACGTTGAGGACCGCGGGGGAGACCACGGGGGGGTGTGGGGACGTGGCTTGGCTCACCTCAGCCTCCTCCAGGGCGGCTTGAAGCTCCAGCTTCTCGGCGTCCAGCCGCTTCCC